GATCATGTGTGAGAAGAACTGCATTTGAATAGTATAGTTTTAAGTTCTGTGCCTGGTGTGTGTGGGTGTGTTTATACTTGTGTTTGCTATGCGTGAGGACCAAATGTTCCCACAGGTAGGACAAGGAGACCCAGTGTCATTGATGCAGAGCACTGCTCTTATGAAACACCAAAAGCTACTTGAGTGCTAATGTCGCCAGCGGTGCATACAGACCAGTTTTAGGGGGGTTTCAGGTGGGGGTTTCAGGTGGGGGGTTCGGGTGGGGCACAGAATCCTGTGAGAGAGACATCTGTGAATGGTGTCATTTGAATTTGTAAGTTATACATTGTATTTACAATGAACAAGCTTGCTTTAGTACCAAAAACTAGTCAGGTGTTGCTGACCCAACTCCATCCAACGTGAGGGTTTGTTTTTGGGATCATTAAAGATCATGGTGCTATAACTTGTGTTGAAAACTGAGGCTGTGCTTTTGCGTTCTAAACAAGTTACTCCCAACTTTTGGTGTCTGTCTGTCATGGATATTGACAACTTGCTTTACAGAACATCAAACCTAATTTGATCCAATTCACCTTTTGTATAATTTAATTTTCTAATTCCTCATTTTGTCATATCATCATTATAATTTTTTTTTTTTTTATCCTCAAAACTGCCACTGGCTCTTAGTTCTACAGTGAAGTTGTCACTTGCCATTACATTAGTTATTGTGGTGGTAACATTACAGTTGGTAAATCTAACAAAATTTGATTTGATGCAATGAGTTCTGTGTCTGAACAGTTGTTTAATTATTAATGGTTGATATTTGTAAATGTATCAGAATTCACCTAGTAAAAAAGCTTCACAGCAAATGGCCACTTGGGTCATAGGCTCTGCATATTTAGTGGCCAGAATGTGAAATGTTGTGGCCCTGGGTGGTAGGCAAGGAATGCATTGATCCCATTTTTTTCAGACCAAATACAAGTTCAGATTTTTAGTACTCACCAATACGAAGTCCAATACCAAAACAAATTACGTTCAATCATTGAAAGCTATCTGATTTTAAATGAAGTGTATTAACTAGCTATGCTACATTTGTTGCCTTGGATTGAGTAGCGCTGCAGTGGAGAAAAGAAAGTAGACTTTTCATGTCTGAAAAGCGCTTCTGTGCAGCTGTAAGTAAAGTATGTTTCATACTTTTGATGCTTCTCATCGGTCTTCTTCTTTGAAGAAGAAGAAGGAATCACAGGCTGATGCATCAGAGGAGCTTGCTTGTGGAGTTTTACGTCTGAAGTCTTTTGTTTGGCTGGTTGAGCTGTAGTTGAATGTCATTGAAATCCAGACATACAGTGTGTGATTTTAGAAACCTTGTTCTTTGGTGACTCACACTGTACGTTCATAGAGACTGCCATGTACGGACAAAGCCTGTGATCTATATACTTACACTGTACATTTAAAAAGACCGTTGTGTACAGACAAAGCCTACGATTTATGTGCTCTCACCCTATGAAAACGCTCCATCCATGTTATGTGACACGCAGCCATTGCAGACAGCTCTGTCCATGAACAATTTCAAATAAAGTTGTTTCATTCAAAACAACATACTTTGTGCTGAGTACTGAGCATACACTGAGAAACTGAGCTACACCACTGCTACCACTTTGCACTGAAGCCAAAGGCCAGGCATGGATGTACATGTAGGACAATTCTTTACGGCCTGTTTTACAAAAACCATGGCAGTTTTGAAAAATCAACATTTATACCTCGCAATTCTACTCAGTCAAACAGAGTAAAGTCAGCAGATACGAACTTCGGTAGCTAATGTCAACATTCCTACTCTCGTTTCTTTTGCCTGTGTGTCTCCACTCGTACTGGGGAAGTGGATGTAATTGTATGTTTTTAAAAACAGGCTAAAATCACAGTGTTTTCCTGGTGGGAATATACAAAAACGGAATGTTTAAAGTGACTGATGGCTTTGTGTCCAACTACCACGGAGTCAGTAACACTTCTCTGTGTGAACAGAGCCTCCTTCACTGTGTTTGTTCCTTAGCACTGCAGCATATACTTGGCTTACATCACACGGTATCAGTGGGTATCAGATGTTGGAATCTATTAATTTTTATCAATACGAGTGTTTGAGTAAATGGGCACAGTATTGACCTGATACCAGTATCGATACTAATGCATCCCTAATAATTACAGTAGTGTAGATTGTGTGTGTGTGTGTGTGTGTATATATTCGCACATGTGCAAGTGTATATGTATGTAAGGTTGATTGATAAGCATGTAGAAGTGTTGAGGATCTAATGGATCTAGAGGATTAGCTGTGTTTAGTGATGGTAGCAGCCAGAGAGCCTCCTCTGCTCCAGACCATCATTAATAAAACATGCATACTCACTTTTACCTGTTTATAAATACAGAGACAGGGAGTTAGTGTGGGTGCCATGGAATGCATCTGCATTTTTTGTGTGTGTATTGAGTATTTATATGTGTAAAATGATCTCTTCAGTCTTTGTTGAATTAGTTGTTGCTGTGTTACTATATGGATCACTGAGCGTCATTGAATAAGTTACGTTTGTCAGACTGAGAGATCACCCGTAGCTATGGGTCTCTGAACTTTTAGGGCTACAGTCACATAATGTTGACAGAGGGATGCCAAAACTGCTAGGTAATAAAGGTTCAAATCTCTCCCTGCATGGTTAGCGAGACTTGTGCCCTACAGTTATCTTTATACGTTGTCTTTAGGTATTTGTGCATAACTGTACTCGATAGAAACTGTACAGTCTGCAAACTTTTACAGACATTTTGGAAATTTGCTTCGTTTTCAAAATGTCTAAAAACTGCTTCTTTCACTCTTACACTTTCACAAGGGCTTAAAAGCAGGGTGATGGTGAGGATGAAAGCTTGAATAGAAGCGGTATTGAGGGAAGCTATAGGGAAACGCAATACCTTACTATACCTATACACACAGACACACTCCCGTACAGAGCTTCAGTAGACACTGGGTGTGTCTGTCCCTGACACAAAGCCCAGAAAGAGATAGAAAGAGAAGAAGAGAATCTTTACTTTCAGCTCAGTGACTTCTGCTTGACCCTTCTGTGTTGACCTGGTGGTGACCCTGCAGTGACATCACAGCGGGTGTGTGTGGCGAGTTTCATGGCTCACAGTGAGGCAGGACATTGTTGTGCGTGCACTAAATCAGTCCATGCTGACAGCACATAGATTTCAGTTCCTTGAGGCCAAAACTGTGTTAATGTGGTGCATACAGGTAATGCACAGTGCACAGCTGAGATTTAGGGAGAATCAGTGGCCACTTGCATAGAACATGTTAAGTGAATTTTGGCTTAAACTTTAAGTGAGCTGCATAAAATCTCTTTAGGAAAGTGTTAAAGTGGAAAGTGAAATAAAAAAATAATATTGTGTAATTGTGTATGTATAATTTTTGTTGACAGTGGCACCATTTAAATTTGCAGCTTGAAATGTGTCCCTTAAGCAATTAACGTAAGATAAATATTTAAGATATTTTATGCAAACCGCCAAAGCTCATCTTTCATTCCTATCATACACAAACACATGCAGGTGTCATGTCTGCAGGGTTATAGAGAGGTCAGTGTGTGTATGTATATGTGTGGGAATATGTTCCCTCAGGGTAAAGAGTACAGTGTTCTATAGGATAATACTCTGTAATGGTAGCTGTAGCCTTTAGGCATGCATGTTTATTTCTGACAGCTCTATCCTTCTCTCTCTCTCTCTCTCTCTCTCTCTCTCTCACACACACTCTCACACACACACACACACACATACACACACACACACACACACAATAAAAGCTTGTATATCTTGCGTCCCGTGTTTATTGATGATTGCACTGTGGAAAGAAAAAAGGTGCTAATCTTTAGCATGTGTTGCTGTGGTAGCCTGGTTTGTGTTTAATACCTAGACGAAAGATCCATCACAAATGTAGCTTAAATATTACTGTTGTAGTGTAACAAACAGTATTCAGCATGTAAGTTGAATTGCATTTAATTTCTTTCAGTTTTATAAATAATAAATCAGCATCTAAATAATAAATAATTAAATAAAATTAATTTCAACATGGCATTACACGTGTATTGTATCTGATAACGAGTTCTTTGGGAAGGTATTTCAGTCGTACCTGGAGTGAAATTAGAAAATGATGTTTATACGGCACTTCTTGGCTTTTAAAAAACGTCTATTTTTGTCTGACCACAGCACCTTTTGCCACATTTTTGCTGGATCGTTTAGGTACTCCAAGACGGCAGAGTGTAAGCAATAGCTCCTTTTTTTGCCACTGTGCTATAGAGGTTTTGTATTTTGGAAATTGCTGACACGTATTCTCTTTCTTCAGCTGTAAGTGTTTCAAGGTCTCACAGTTGCATCCCTAATTATTTTCTTCCAGCTCAGTACTGTTTGAATTGTGTGCTATTTCTTGCATTTTATGGCTTTGATGGTTTTTTCATCTGATTTTTCATCTGATCTGTAATTTGCTTTGGATGCTCTTTTGTCTTGATGATTGACTCAATTCACCACCTGACTGAGGAGCATGCAGTGGTTTTGAACCTGTACCCTTCCAGTATTTAGACTGGAGCTGGTCGGTACACACAGGCAGAAGAATCTTGTACACCTGAGTGAATTGAGGATGACAGGCTGAAAGAGTCTCAGTACTCATGTAGTGTTCATATTTCAGCTTTTTTCCAGTTTTCAGTTTATTGAACTTTGTGTAATCATTGGACTTGTCCAGTTACAACAGTTTGCACAAACTTTTGCAAAGCCACTGTGTACTGTGTGTACTGAACTGACAATGAGGCTGTGTGTGTGTGACAGAGAGAGAAAGAGTTAAATTTCAGCCTCTTGGCTAAATTATTTTCTCTTATTAAGGTTGTGGTGGAGTGGCTACATCCTCTCTCTCTCTCTCTTTCTGTCTCTCACACATGAAAACACAGATTTAAACGTTCTGCTTTTGTAAACGTGTGTGGTTCTCTAATGTGCATGTATTGTTTGTGTAGTTGATTTGGAGCACATGCGGACAGTAAAGGTGGACAAACACCAGCGCTTCTGTCAAGAGAATGGCCTCATCAGCCAATTTGTGTCAGCTAAGACGGGAGACTCGGTCAGTAACACACACGTGCAAACACTAGCTCATATACTCTAAAGTATGAACACACGTTGATCAATGCACACACATTAATCCAAGTATGATCCATTCATCATAAAATTGCCACATAATATGAGGACCAGCTAGCCTTTTAAAAAATGAAGATAATAGTCTTTCAGACAGCGACAGTATGTTTGTTTAAGGGAAATCAAATAATATCTTTGTGTCTACTTGTGTGTTCTCTAGGTGTTCCTTTGTTTCCAAAGAGTGGCAGCAGAGATTTTGGGAATAAAACTGAATAAAGCAGAAATAGAGCAGTCACAGGTAAGCATGTCCTATTTAGAGTGTATGTATGTTTGTGTTTATGGGTGGGCAGTAATAAATAAACAACTTTTTCATGTTTAAATGATTTTTTTTTATTAAAATACTTCAATAAATACACAATACCTGTCAATGTATTCTGCAATCCTTCTTTTTTCAGAATAAAATTAATTTTAGGCATTTAGTCTCCCAAAGTCTAAGAATGTCAGGTGGTGTGACCATCCAGCCATGTATGCAGATTAAGTAAACTATTAAAAAAGGTAATTTAGTTAAATAAAATGATTTTGTTTGAAATGTTACAGATCAAAACATGTTGCAAAAAATATTTATCTAATTGCAAAACATCTATAAATTCTGTTTTCTCTTAATGTTACGTGCCACAACTAGCAATGAACTTTTACTCTTGAGTTATGGTTAGGCTGATTCAGTTTACCAAGTTAGGTGGTAAGACCCCAGGAAAGCCATGAAAATCAGTTATTATTATAATAAGGTTTATTTATTTGGGAAAAAAAAAAACAAAACGTATAACCTTGAGTTCATGGACAAAAGTTTATACAGGTGTCCAAGTACATATACTGGTTTATTCACATTTTCAGTAGTGGTGAATAACTTTTAATAATATTTTGAATTTATATACGGTTATGCCACCTGATGTTTCCCAGGTGGTAAACTTGATCCAGTTTCAAAAGTGAATTTATACCTTTATGAAAACTATGAATCTATCCTTAAAAATAATGTTATCCTTAAAAATAATAGTAGTAGTTTTTAAATTTGGAATTTCTAAAATCATCTTGAAATCTATTTGTCATTGATGTGTATGTCTGTGTTTAGTATGTTGGACTGCGTCTGCAGGGTTACTGGTAGGAATCTGATTTGGTAAGCTAATCTAAAAGCTCAGCAGCTGTGTGTTTGTGTGTGTGTACATGTATGTATGTGTGCTGAACTCCCATTACTAGTTGTCAGGTCATCAGGTTTAGAGAGGTTAACACAAGGTCATGACCCCTGAACAGAAAGGCTCTGCAGAGGAGCCCTCTCCATCATTCTGGAAAAGTGTGCGTCTGTGTGTGTGTGTGTGTGTGTGAGAGAGAGAGAGATAGAGAGAGAGAGAGATTAATGAGAGACCAAAGTGTGGCATCCAGTTTTGTGAGTCAACACTTGTCTTTCATCATAATTAATCATTATTAGCTACAAACACACTTTAACTGTTCTTTGTTCTTTCTTGTCATTGTTCTTTGCATTCTCATTTTCATAACTCTTTGTTTTGCCTGTTTTTCCCACCCTTATACATCTGTTTCTTGTCTCTTCCTGCATTTCTTTGGGTGTGTATATCTGTAGCGGATAGTTCGAGCTGAGTTGGTGGACTATCCTCAGGATGAGGGACTGATTACTCAAGACAACAATCAGAGCAAAATCTGCTCTGTTCAGTAACATAACAGTATTTGTGAGTGTCTGTGTGAGTGTGCGTGGAGGAGTGAGCATTTAGATTTCAGCTGTAGAGGCTGTTGCTTTGTAACTGTACCTGTAGTTGTGTTAGATTACTGGGCTGTTTAGAATTGAGCTGAATCATAGTTAACTTAGCTTACATGTGCTTTGTTAATTCATATGATTTTCAGCTTTTCCATATGCATCAACTATCCTTGAACATTTTAAGGGACTTTGTTTAAGTGTCATTATTACTGTACGTTTCCCACAAAATTGCTTCTTTTAACCATGGTATTAAACTGACATTTTATAGGTGTTTCTGATGAACTAATATGGGTGCTGTTCATCTTTCAATTCTCTACAAGTTTGCTAGTTTGACCTCTTTCATTGCTGGAAAAATAACTGTTATATTTGTACCATAGTAAACTCCTGCTAGTTGCAACAGAAGTAACTTAGCCAGAATTAAGTAGCAGGCTAACAAACTGAACATAGTAATAATTAATTCATATGAAGACAGAATGCTCCAGGATAAGGTAAGGTATTGTTTGAAATTTGCAGATCCTAATAGCGCTGACGAATCCATGAAATGCTTTCTTAAACGATTCACATATTTGATATTTATCTAAAAAGGTAAAAAAGAAAAAAAAAACAGAAAAGCCTTAACTGATTCCCATGATTTATTTGGTCAAACAACAAAATGATATTTTAAATTAGCCAGCTTAATCTTTGGATTTTAGTCTAACCAGGTAAGTGCAGCAACATGCTTATGAGTGAAGCCTTTTAAACCGGCCATACATCTTGTTATACCATTTTTTTTGCCGCTTGTTCAGAGGATAATGCTGGAGGCATTACTGAAGCAATGTTTTCACTCGTGACTAGTATAAAAGCACTTTGCAGACCATGCTGTGGCATTTCTGGTTACAGATAAAGGTTGTGCAGTTTGAAAAACATATCATATCATGGTTCATTTGGCCGACAGCACCCTATTGTAACGAGGACTGACCACCTTAATAATATATCAGTTAGTAGTTTCAGTGGTAAATCATGGTTTTAGATAGGGGTTAGATAAAGATGTGATGACAAATTTAATGTCTTCTGTCCTCCTTTTCATGCTTGGCGTGTAGCGGGTGGTGAAGGCGGACATTGTGAACTACAGTCAAGAGTCTGTGGCCCGGACGGTCAACCCTCCACGAAGCTCCATGTGTGTCATACAGTGATCAACAGACACTGGGTTCCTTTTTTCACCTCCCCTTTTCTCTCTTTTTATCTTTTCTCTCTTTGTCTAGATATCTCTGAAAGGATTAGTAAGAGACTGCAACCAGCAAACTGCTTCATAAAGCAGTGCATAGGCTACACACACTCATACCTCTTTGCTCTTGTATAAAGTGTGTGTTTGTGTGTACGTCTTCAGTTTAGTTGTTGATGTTCTGAAGCAGTGTTGTATTTATGCTGAATACGTTTAATACGCACAGCATAGACACATTCCTACATTCGCTGTTCTGTCCTCTTATATAATTAGCATGTTGTGGAGCGCAACAGCACAGTCCTTGTATTTACAATACGAGAGAGAAGCAGATTTTACAGTTATTGTTTTGTAACAATGACCGTGATGAGAGAATAGAGAAGAACAGAGAGAGAGTTAGTTTAGGGAAAGTAAAGGTGCTTATGTGTTGTGAAATTAACTCCAGACAGAACCTTGCTACTCGTTTACAGATTTTTTTTCTTTTCTGTTTGTTTTATCTTTGTTTTGCTAATTAGAGAGACTGAGTTTCAGAACATAGTGTATATTTATGAGCAGAGCATAACAGAGCCAATCTTCAAACTTTGATCATATTTCTTTTTTTTTGTTTGTTTGTTTTTTGCAAGTGAGTCCAAAGGGATTGAAGGGGCAGAAGATTGTATTGGTTTTTGGTGGTGAGACCAATTGTTGTCAAGCCAACAAGTTGGGAAGTGCAGGGATACAAGATGTAATGATAGTTTAGTGTAGTAGTGATTAAGATGACAGAGGAAATATCAGTGTGGGACCTAATTGAAACTCAGTTGAAGATTTCTCCACTCAGTCCAAAGTGACTGTCACAGAATAGCCAAGCTCAAGCTGCGATAACTCTGGGTTCTGACAGCTTAACTCAGTCAGGCGATGCATGTGTATCTTAAATCAGCCCTGTAGGGGGGATACTGCAGTCAGAAAAGCTACTTTCTGAATGTACCTAATAATGAGCATGCTACGGAGCAAACCAGCCAAGCCATGTCCATCAGTTGAGGTCTTTTATTTTGCAGACTGTGTCAGTGTCTGTTAATCTAGGACTTTTCCAAAATGCTCTTTACATACTATCAACCCATGATTCTTATTTTACAGTGTTTTTGCTGTGCTTGCTCTCTCTATTTTGTAAACGTGCATCGTACCATCACATTTATTATGAAATATTTTTTTTCCCATCTACCATGTTACACTACATACAGTCATACCATATTACTATGATTTCTTGTTCTGGACCAATAAGGTGAAGACACTTTTCTGCAGGACGGCCATGTGGTGACACTTTAGCAGCCACAGTCTTCACCTCAGCTGTAACATATGTACTTGACAAATGTTTTTTATTTGTCTTGTGAAAGTCTATTTTTTCTGTTGTGTTAATCCTGCAAGTGTTTCCATTCATGAATTGTAATGGGATCTGAAGAACTCTTGGGAAAGTTCTGTCGAATGTCTTCTGAAAAACTATATTTAAACACTAAGCGTTATCAAGCCGAGCTTTACTCGTTCTAGTGAAACAGAATGTTGTATACTCTGTACATTTAGGAATAAAAAAAATGTGTCGTTTTGTAAGCATTATTAAAATATTACAACACGTTATGATGCTTATTATTTTTTTATCCTTTGGAAATGTGAAACATACGTTTTCCAAATCCAAATCCCAAGGTTGTATTATTACTATGGCAGATGATAGTCATGTGGTCAGGGAAATTGTCCAATATGAATATGTTTAAAGCGAGATGGCTGTAATTGAGTGTAATGTGATCTGGGTAAGTAGTTATGCTTGAGATCCTCTGCTCTGCTCTCCTGGGCTGTTCGCCTCATCAGCTTGCAGTTTTTTCCTGCAGATGTAGACCTGAAAAGTGATTGGCAATGGAGGATGAGTTGACCTGATGGGGAAGTGAAATACAGTTAAAGCAGTTTAAAACTGCAAAAAAAAAAAACATTTCGGGTGTCTGGAAAAACACCCCAGTTTCCCAATTTTCATGAGTAATGATCATTTGAAAATCACATTATGGATTGTGAGACTATTTAAGGAAATGTAAAGGAAAAATGATATTCCAAGAACCTTATATGTATACTCCTCTTAGAAGCGCTCTTTTCTAAGCATAGGGGAGGCAGATTAAACAGTCTGGGTTGATGTGAAACCACAGACTGTGATGGAGCAGCGAACAATAGGGCTGGTATCAGTTAAAGCAGGTGTATGAAGTGTCCTGAAACATGGCCGATGTGCTATTTTTCATCTGCAGGTGTGACAATGCAGTTGAAGACGGAGGAGACCCCAGGGAGCTGTAATTTCAGACCTGCCGGGGCATTTTTCACACAGAGAGAGGCCTTACACACACACACTACTAATGAGGGAAAAGCCCTTTGAGCCTTCATCTTCACTTAAAGGATCCCTAAACCCATTTAGGCAGGTGATATGTTTCTATGTTTGTGTCATGCTTGTACATTGAATTAATTAGATGTTTTAAACTTTTATTTATTACAGGGTAGAAACATTTTAATTTCACTAATCTCTAGGAACAGACAAAAGACCCATTTAGGGAGGTTTGATTAGCATGAGGTGTTAGAGTCCAATAACTTTTTTTAAGAAGTTAGTTTAAAGAAGGTTTGCTTCACTGCAATTTAGATTAACAATGCTATGCTCCTTTTTAACTTTTTTGTTTGTGTTCATATAAATTTTAACCTAAGGTGAAATATGACCTATTTCCTACTTAATGTCTATAGTGTTTTTATTATAATTCAGACAGTATATCATGTCTTAGGATCTGAATGATATTCTAAATAAGGATGTACTGATATTGGAATTGTGGGCCAATGCCATTATCTGCTGATGCCTAAAGATAGATAGTAGAAATTGGGACTCTTAACAGGATCAGCATTACAGAGAAATATAACTTTCATTCTTGCTGTTATGAATGCAGTAAAATTAATAAAATGCAGACATTTTGGCACAGTAGCCCAGCATCACCTAAATATTCTGCTCTTCCAGAGTACAAGAAATAGATCATCGAATATTGGTTTGAAGGATCAGTTAAATGTAAACATCTGCCTGATGCCAGTAATTTTATTTTAAACACTTATCTGACAATACCAATATGGTATCTGTGTCATCATGCATCCCTAATTCTGTATCAATATCAATATATTTACAAGAAGAGAAAAAATGAAACTCCTTTTTATGTATTTAATCGCAATTAGTGAGCATCACTTTAAAATGCACTAAAGAGTTACCTGAATCCATCTTAAATAAAATTATTTGTAATAAAAAAAATTATTAATATCAAAACCTATGAAATAATAAAACATAATACAACATCTGAAAATCACAAAAGTATAACGACAATTTTCCTACTGAGGCTCTTAGCCTGTTGCTTACAAGTGGCCTGCTGCTGTCGTTATCGTTGTTGCTATTGTTACTGTACCTGTTGTTGGTGATGATGTTATGGCAGAGGTGCTCCTCGAACCTGTGTGCATGTCTCTGGCTCCTCATATCCGCTGTTTAAAAAGAAAAAAGAAAGAAAAGGAAAAAATTGCAGCTGTCACCACTGGTGACAGGCCGCTCTGCTTGCTGTTTGGACAGGTGTTTTATTTTTATTTCGTTTTTTTTCCCCTTAAGAAAACAGCAGCACATCACTTTGCCCTCCTGCTCAAAAAGACACAAGGAAAGAATAATATGTGTCGGAAAATACGGTGGAAAAGGGGCTGAAGCCCTGACAGACGGGCGGAGGGATTTAAGTCCTGATGAATTTGTCCGCCTGTTCCACCGACTGCTAGCTGTGAGTGATGGTGAGGCTAATTTGCTCAGTGTCAGTTAGCTTTTGCTGTGAGAGTCTCTGCTGTGGAAGAAAGTGAGAGAGGAAAAAAAACTCAATTCTGACAGCAGAGGAAGCTGCTTTAACTGCTCTCAGGGCACCGAAACCAGTCACTGAAAGCACAGACGGCACCAGAACCAGGCACTAAAATCACCAAAAAATGTAAAGTTTCAGTACTTTGTCATATCAGTCAGTACTTGACTTAGAGCCCTTTCACTGCCGCCCAAAAACATAAACAAAATACATTCATACACGTATCATTTATAATCTCAATTAAGTAACATAAACATTAAAATTGTGGAGTGAAATTAAAAAGTCTGATAGCAGGAGGGTAGGTGCTGTTACTAAACTGAGATGTTCTGCATTAGATGCTTTGAAACTTTTTGCCAGAAGTGAGCAATTTAAAAAGGTACTCTACTGGATGTGAAGTACCTGCATACATTTTTAATGCTTTTTTCCCTTTTTCTCACATAGATAGAGGCAACAGATGGAAGTTCACAACCAATGATTTTGGAGGCAGATCATACCACTTTCTGTTACTGCTGTCTCTCTTATAGTGTACTGTTGTACCAGACACATATGGAGAATGGTCAACACACTTTCCACAATAGCTCTATAAAAGTGTATCAGTCTCTAGTCACACCAAATTTCTTAAGTTGCCTTATAAAAAGAAGCCTTTGGTGAGCTTTTCCCAAAAAGACTGCAATGTTGCTCTCCCACTAAAGAGATGTGCTGACGGTTGTCCCCAGGAGCTTGAAGGAGGCAACCTTCTTCACCTCTTTGCCATTGATGGTCAGAGATGGTAGGTCCACCTTCCATCTTTTGAATTTTGAACTCCTTTGTATGTAAGTAAGTGCAAAATTCAATCACTAAAAGCATCAAGCTAAAAGCAGCAGTGAATAACAAACAAGTCACTGATTGTGCCAAAAATCACCAGTCTCATACTAAAAGCACAAACAGTAAGTCACTAAAAGCACCAAAATCACCAAAACCAGTCACTAAAAGTGAAGGCTAGAATCTGTACACTGAAAAAATAGTTCATTATTTTATTGTGTCAAGTGGTTGCATACAAAGGAAATATGTTACATCAACACAATTTCTTGAAGTTGACTTGTTTTGGCAATACATTTTATTCATTTGCAACCACTTGACACATTAAAATCATGAAATTCAATAAAGGATAGTTGTTGTATTCATTCTGGCTTTAGTAAATGTGGTTGAAATATTTCTTTCATCTTGTCTACTCATTACCAAGAGGTTTTTGTCACTATTTCTGGCCCTGTCAGGCATGTTGTGTTGTTAAATAAATGTGGTTATAAATTTACACAAAATTATGAGTGCTTGCCGAACCTGTGTGAAATCTTAATCCAGTCACTTTATTTATTTTTGTAACACATATAGCCACCCAGTGTATGTAAGATCTGTCAAAACATGACTAGTGATAAGTTGATTATGGTCAGTAGTTTTCATTTCCGACACATAAGGCTTGGCTAGGAATCAAGGAGAGCCGATTAACATGACAGTCCTGACAGAGTTGAAGCTGCGCCGAACACCTTTAACTCCTAAAAACCCACAATTAGTCAGTAATGAGCTTCAATTACATTTTATTAGGGACTTTAAAATGGTCTCCGATGAGTAAGCCAGTTAAAGGGAGCCGGCTGTGCGATGCACAAAGTGGAGAATAAGTGCTCATTGTGGAAGAGAGATGTTTGGCTTATGTCAGTGCATGTGTGTGTGTCTGTTTTACAAGTGTTTTCAGAGTGATGTCAGACATTAACGGTGACATTAACTGTGAGGGTGCCGAGTATGTTCATTTCAGTGGCGCTGATCTGTAACTGGATCCCCACTGACCTCTGTACGCCGGGTGGTTTTAGGGTCTTCCGCATGTACCCACATCAGGCACACAGCACAGAGGGAGACATTGTGGACCATCGGCTCATCGCTCAGGCTGAGCTCTTAAACATGGACAATAGGCCATCTGTTTGCCAGAGGCAAGGAGATTGTTAAAGTCAAGTGTAAATAAATGCCGCCTGTATTAACTTGCATTTGGGTGGTCAGACTAGACCTGCTGATACAGTTAGACGTCTTAACAGTTACAGTGGAACTGGCTGTGGGATGGGACAGGGTTTTGTGAGAAATTATTTGGAGCCCATCTGTATGCCTGATGGAGATTACATGGCCAACTGAGCTTTGCTTTTGGAATTTTTCAAGGGCTGACTTGATGCACTTCTTTTTTGGCAAGCACATATGAGACAAATACTTTTAGGTTTAGCACATATGAGACAAATACTGTCAAGTTTAAATTTGTTTAACTGAAACATTTGTAAAAAATAAAAAAAAGGGGCATAGTGCTGCTTTTTGGCTGATAGACACAGTAGATACGACAGTCAGAGATCATCCTTAAATTATTTCATTTTCAGTCATTAAACATCCAGTCAACAGCCATTATCTACAGTCATTATTCAGCGTCAGTAAAACAGGAAATATAAATAGCAGTTTTTTAGTACTTAGTGTGTCCACCCTTTGCCTGTAGTACTATTTCAGTTCTTTTCGAAGGGCTTACTTTCAGTTTTGCAAAGAAATCTGCAGGGATATTTTTCTACACCTCCAAAGTTCAGTCTTAGAAGTTGGTTGCATTTTCTGCTTCTTCCAATCCAAGTAATTCCAAACACGTTTGGTGATGTTGTGGTTTGGACTCTGGGGTGGTCAGTCAATTGTTCTGAGAACACCAGCAGCTTCTTTGTTTATTT